GGTCTCCTTCGATTCGGTCGCCCACTTCCATGGCTCGCAAGGGCAGGCGGGTTGGTGATGCGGGCGGTTCTATCTTGGAGCAGGCGGAGCGGCGGCCTGCTGTTAAGGATCTTCCCCCTTCAGGTAATCATCTTGGTCCTTTCCCTTCTTCTTCCCTGACTCGGCTTGTTCTACCTTCCCTTTCTGATGATCTCTTGTTAAATATTATGAATGATGTGGGTGTGTCAGTAGATCCTGAGGTAGGCTCCCCTGTTTCTCTCCTTTCTACTATTCGGGCTAATGAGATGGCTCAGACGGCCATTGCTAAAGCCAAAGAGGCTGTTGCCTTTGCGGCTGCAGTTTCGGTAGGAGTCCGGGCTCAGGGTGCGGGTGTGGAGGTTGGGAGTGGCCAACCCCAGCCTAGCACTTCCAGAAGGGGCCCTGCTAAAAGATCTAAACCCTGCGCGGCTCCTAGCAGGTCGAGTCTCCGCATTAAAAACCTTTATTATAAATGAAAGCGCTGTTTTGGAACATTAGGGGTTTCGGTGCTAGGGGCGCCGTGACAAAATTGAAGACTTGGTTCGTGGGAACCATATCGATTTGGTTGGGCGGGTTGAAACCTTTAAAGAATCCTTTTCCCCCAATGAACTCTCTACTATCGCGGGTGTGGATAGATTTGATTGGCATGTGTTACCTGCTTCGGTCCATTCGGGGGGGATCCTGATTGGCTCAAAAAAAGATATCTTCGATTTCGTGGCCTTTGATCATGGTGTTTTTTGGGCTAGTACGGTAGTTTGTCACAAAGCCCTTAATATTTTGTGGGAAGTCATTGTGGTTTATGGTCCAGCTGATCACTCGCTTTCTTCCTTATTCTTGGATGAGCTTTCTGCTAAGATTGAGGCGTGTAATTTACCGATAGTTATCGGCGGGGACTTCAACCTCCATCGTTTTCCTTCTGATAAAAGTAATGACAACTTCTCCTGGCCTCTGGCTAATGCATTCAATGACTTTATTAGTACCAATGCTGTCCACGAGCTTCCTAGGGTTGGAGCCCGTTTCACTTGGTCTAACCATCAGGCCAACCCGATTAGACTAGTGCTTGATAGAGTTTTTATGTGCTCTAGTTGGGACTCTCTATTTCCCCGGGCCTCCCTCACCACTAAAAGTATCGTTGGCTCTGACCATACCCCTATTCTTCTTGACGGTGGGCTGCATCAAGATAGACCTCCTGCTAGATTCCAATTTGATGCTTCTTGGCTACTTGTGGAAGGGTTTAATGATCTGCTGGCCTCGAAGATTACTCACCTCATATCCACTAATGATCATTCCTTTGGCCCTTTAGATGATTGGCACTCTTGCTCTTACAATTTGCGCAAATTTCTTAGAGGCTGGTCCTGTAATCACGCTGCAGAGGAGCGTCGCTCGGAAGATTTCCTCGAATTGCAAATCTTGGCTCTTGATCGTTCGGTTGATTCTTCTGGGACCTCTGAAGATGGGTGGTCTTTGCAGTACAATCTTGAGTCCGCCTTGATGCAGTTGCACCAACAGGCTGAAATTTATTGGCGCCAGCGGGGCACGCTTAATTGGACTCTGAAAGGGGACTCCCCCACGGCTTATTTCTTTGCCATTGCTAACGGTAGGAGGAGGCTTTGTGGTATTAATAGCCTCATCATTAATGGAGTGCGGTCCTCGGACCAGTCTGTGATCCTCTCCCATGTGGTGGAGTTCTTCTCATCGTTATTAGGGACCAAACCTCTCTCGGGACTTTCCATATCTCCAACCTTGGGGGACAATAGTATGAAATTTTCGGCCGACTAAAATGTTGCGTTGATGGTGCCCGTCTCCGATAAGGAGATCTGGGATGTGGTTAACTCTGCTAACCCGAATGCTGCTTCTGGGCCGGACGGTTTTTCGATCCCCTTCTTTCGGAAGTTCTGGCCTCAATTGAGGCAGCTGGTCTGTAATGTTATTCATGGGTTTTGTCTAGGAACTTTTGATATCTCTCTCCTTAATTACGCGGTCATCTCCCTGATTCCTAAAGTTAAAGGTGCTGAACTGATCTCCCAGTTCAGGCCTATTGTGCTGATCAATAATTTTGCTAAGTTTCCTGCTAAGGGTTTTGCTACCCGCCTGTCCCCCGTTGCCCATAGAGTTGTCAGTCCTTACCAATCTGCTTTCATCAAAGGGCGCTTCATATTAGATGGCATCCTCTGTATTCATGAAATTGTTCATGATTTGAGAACTCATAATTCTAAGGCTGTCATTTTAAAACTAGATTTTTGAGAAAGCCTATGACTCCGTCAGCTGGCCTTTTCTCAGGAAGGTTCTTCTAGCGTAAGGTTTCGACGGGGCGTATGTTCATCGTATTATGCAGTTGGTCTTGGGTGGCCACACTGCGGTTTCTGTGAATGGCCATATTAGTAAATTTTTTGTCAATGGCAGAGGCTTGCGACAAGGGGATCCTGTGTCTCCTGTCCTTCTTAACTTTGTGGCTGATGCCATCTCTCGCATCCTATCTAGGGCGGCTCAGCATGGCCATATCTTGCCTGTGGTCTCTCATTTAATTCCTGATGGTGTCACTCACTTGCAATACGCTGATGACACCATTATTATGGTTGAATTTAACGATGCCTGCATTGCCCACCTAAAGTTCATCCTATTATGCTTTGAGGCCGTCTCTGGCCTGAAAATTAACTTCTCCAAAAGTGAGGTCTTGGTTACTGGTGTTGACGATGCGGAGGACTTGAGAGTGGCTAGGTTGCTTAACTGTTCCCTGGGTTCCTTCCCTTTCAAATATCTGGGCCTTCCCATATCCCCTGTTGTGTTACATTCAAAGGATTTTTCTCCGACTATTTCTAAGGTGGGAAACAGGGTTCTCCCCTGGAGAGGTAGATATAACACCAATGCTGGCAAAGTTGCTCTGATTAACGCTTGCCTCTCCTCCCTTCCTATGTTTTTAATGGGCTTTTATCTCTTATCGGCTGGCATTCATGCCGGTTTTGACAAGCACAGGGGTGCTTTCTATTGGAATGTTGCTGACAACAAACAGAAATATAGGCTGGTTAAATGTAAGCTCATGTGTAGGCCTAAAAACCTTGGGGGTTAGGTATTATTAACACTCTGGTTGTGAACAAGTGTCTGTTAATTAAATGGTGGTGGAAAATTATGACCAGTGGGGCCGGCTCCTTATGGTATTCAATACTTAAAGCTAAATGTTTCCCTCACTCTAGCCCGATGTTTGCTGTGGCCCGACGTGGATCTCAATTCTGGAAGGACCTTATTAAAGTCAGACCTTTGTTCCTGGAACATGTGAAGTTTAATGTTAGTAACGGTACCTCGGTTCGTTTTTGGCGTGACTGGTGGTGTGGTGATACCCCTCTGGCTGTTAGTTTCCCGGTCCTTTTTTCGTATTGTCCTAACCCGGATATCTCCATCGCGGAGGTGACGGCTAATAATTGGGACTTGGCCTTTCGTCGTTCCTTGTCTCCTAAAGAGTTGGAAGACTGGCAAAGACTCTCTGCCTTTTTCCCCTTGCTCTCGGAGACGCCGGATTCGGTAGTCTGGCCTCATTCTTCCTCTGGCCGGTTTTCAGTTAAATCTATGTACTCTAGGCTCATTGGAGGTGTCCCTTCGAATAGGTTCTCTTGCATTTGGCGGTCCAAAGTTCCTCCTAAGATTAAAATCTTCCTCTGGTAGGCCTTCAGAGGCCGTCTACCCGCGGCTGACGAAATTCGTAAGCAAAATGGGCCGGGCTCGGAGTTCTGTGCTCTTTGCGGTGTCTTGGAAGACACGAATCATATCATTTTTTCATTGTGTGTTGGCTAAGCTGGTTTGGAGTTGTGTCCGTTCCTGGCTCCAGGTTACTTGGAATCCCTCCTCCTTTCTTGAACTGAGAAACCTTGCCAACTTGCTGGTTGGGGTGAGTAAGTGGGTTTTCTGGGTTGGCGTGGGTGCGATTTGTTGGTCATTATGGACGATTAGGAACAAATTTACGATCAAACATGTCTTCCCAACTAAGGCTGCTGACGCTCTTTTCAAATCTTGTATCTTCTTGCAGCAGTGGAGATCATTGACTAAGGAGGACGACCAGGGAGCGCTGGACCTGCTCATCTCTAAAATTCGGGCCTCGACGTCCTCTATATTTGGGCAGGATTCTGAAGTCTGAACTGCTTGTCGATGTTTCTTCGTCTTCGTTGGTGGCTTTTCTTTCATCTCTTCCGGCCTGCGTGCCGTGTTTGGCAGGTTGCCATGTACCCCTATTACTTTCGTGATCCTGGCCCCTAGCTCTGTTATCGTGAATTATTGGTGGCTTCGCCCTATGTTGATGTTTGGGCTTGTGACTCTGCCTTGTGGCTTTATTTATATAGGACTATGGCCTTTTCTCTAAAAATAAAAATCAACACTCGCACGAAGCACTATCGATAGCTAGCGACAGAAAAGAGCAAGGGCTCGCACGCCATGGCAGTTCTGCTGGATCTGCTGGCGCTTCGCTCCTCGCCGCTGCGTCGGTGGCACTGGGCATCCACGCAAGGGGGAGTGCCACCCGCTGTAACCTGGTTCCGCGCGGGCGTGCTGGGAAGCATGGAGGAGAGGCTCGCCGGGGAAGGGAAGGGGCGGCGCTGTCGACCGCCGGCCGTTCCCTGGCTCCGCGGCGTCGTGCTGGGGAAGCGTGGAGGGACAAGCTCGCCGGGGAAGGGAAGGAGCGGCGCTGCCGACCGAGCCGCCGCCGCCGCCGCGCGTGGGCCTATGCGGGACAAACAGAGGAGTTGAAGACACCGCGCCCGGGAGTGCGGGCCGGGCCGAGAAAACAGCCCCCAAGCCCACCTTGTGCCCAAAGCCCGGTACGGCGACTGTGTCAGGTAATTTCGCCTTCAAATACCCCCGCCTAGGCGCCCGAGCGTAACCGCCCGAACCAACAGCCTTCTCCCCTTCGCCGGAGCTCCAAGAAACCAAGACCCCGCTCTCCACCGCGCAGCGCCCACCTCCACTGCTCCCCAGCGGCCCGGCGCCGGCGGCCACCGATGGAACGGTTCAACGACGAGCAGTACGTGCGGCTGCGGAACCGCAAGCTCGGCAAGTACTACCTCCACGCCGACGACGACGGGGTGGGCGTCTCCATCAGCCAGCGCCGCAACTCGCTGAACGTGGCGTGGAGGGTGCACATCTACCACGCCGCCGACGGCCCGTACCTGCTCCTCCACAGCGCCGCCTACGGCCGCTACCTCGCCGCCACGGCCACGCCGGCGACGGCCTTGTACCACGGCTTCCGCGCCGAGCTGCGCGACTACGACCATCCGGTGGTGCCGGATATCATGTGGCTGGACATCAGGGCGGGGCTGGGGCGTGGCGTGCTGCTCCAAAACGCTGGCGACCGCTACCTCCGCGCCAACGGCAAGTACCTCAGCTGGAACTCCGGCGTCACCGTCGAGAACAGAGATATTGAGAATGGGAAGGTCAGCTCCATGATGCGCTGGATCGTCGAGCCCATCGCCCTCACAGAGCGCGCGCCTCGCATTCCAGACCCGATTCGGGTGAGTTCGCCATGACCCGCTGTCCCGCTTCTTGATAACTCGCGAATTGCTTCCGTCTGAGGTCTGGGCCTATCGATTGAGCGAATCGGGTTCTTGGGCGTCGTTAATTTGCATCGCAGCTCTACTGCAGGGATTGCGACTTGTGTTGATTTCATTTTCTCGTGCACAATTTCTGGTTCTGCTGTTGACAAATTTGCGCTTCCTGACTTCTTGCGCCGTCGAGATTCCTGATCGCGTTTGTGTTTTCGATCAGAAAATTTGATCTCCTGAAGATAACCATGGTTCTTGGTAACTCAACTGCAGGCCCGCCTCCCTGAAGACCTCTCCGTCGTCGTGTTAGGGCGCCAGCCAGGGGCGTGGCGGGGGATTCGGTTCGTGCAAACGAGCAACGAGGGGCTCTACAACGAGGCCGGGCAAGGCTGGGCCGGAGACCATATCAGGGGGAGGTCCTTGTACTACCTGAGGGACAAGCTGGCTAGACGGGTCAACCAGCAGCCCGACCGCATCGCCATGTGCATCCGAGCGGGCTGCTACGGGAGGCTGACCCCACTCGTCGTCGACCTGCCCCGCAGTGGCTGGGGCGACATCTACCAGATCGTCGTCATCATCTCCGGGACCCCTGGTGAGAGCCTCTCTCCATGTCACAACTTCCTAATGAGAGTGAACCGGTAGACTTGATTGAATCTGTTTTGCTCAATGTACAAGTTTTGGTGTAGGTACTGTTTGCTGCATGGCCATGATAATTTTGGTTTTATTTTGGTGGGCTGTTAATCTGCTTGTGTTTGAAAAATAGTTTACTCAGACTGTTTATGGTAAAACAGTTAACTGAAATTGTTAATCTGAGAAAACAGTTAACTGAAACTGTTAGGAGTTGGGAATTGTCTGCAACCGGTGTTGTCCTGTCGACTTTTTGGTTAATGGAAAGAAACATTTTACACTCAACCTTGATATGGATTGGAAAGTGTTGGTTTCATACTACAGTCCTTGATTCAGGTAAGTCAGTTTTCTATTTGGTGCTATTTGCCGTCAGTACATTTTGTGTGTTCAAAGCTAGTAAAATATGGAACTTAAATAGACGAATGAGGTGATCAATCTTATTCAGCCTTAACAGAGAAGATTCTGATATCCGTTTAATTTAGCCTATTTTACTTGTGTTGAATAATCTGAACAAAATTCAGGTTCTTACAGTACTAAATCAAATCTAGTTTCTGCACATGAGCTATATTGTTTTCAGGTTTTGTGCACGAGCTATATTACTAGTCCTGTTAAAAAAATTGAGAACTCCGAGGTTTAGCTTGTTGATCTGCTTCCTGCTAATCTTCTTTTACTAGAAATGCACTGGTGGTCTTCAATATGTTTTGCACAGTGCACAGATGGTTGTGTAGATACTGTTTACTGCATGAACATGATATCTGAAGTCTGTCTTTAGTGGAATGCTAATCTGATCGTGCTTGGAAAAAGGATTTATGATAGGTTTTGTTAGGACTTGGGACTTGTCTGAAACTGTCGTAATCCTGTAGAAAAGTGAAAGTAGTTTAATGGGAATAGTAGGTGTCGATGCCGTGTGGATCTATCAGTCTGTGTATGCATGGTAAAAAAATTGATGAACTCTGAAGCTAGTAGGAACTACTTGTTCCACATTTCTTTTCTGGATTCAGATAATTGAGTTCGCCCATTTCGTAGCATTTAGTCTCCAGTAGAAATTATGGAAACTAAAAAGTCAAATCAAGTTCAGTCATCTCATTTCATCTTTCGGAGAAGATACTAAATTTCTAACATGTGAACAAAATTCAGTTTGTATCCTACAATAGATGGTACATAAAAGCTTAGTTACTTGCACATTATATTGTTTCATGTTTTGTCTTCTTGATCTTGTCAATATATTGTTAATTTATTATTGATCTGCCGCCTAACTGCCTTGTCATTTCTGCCAATTCAGCCTATGCTGCGCTGCGATACCCGAATGTCGGCGGAGCGTAGAGAAGGATCAGAGCCGGAGTCCTGACAGTTCACCTCTTCAGAAGTTTCGCCGTCTCGGACACAACAATGGCATAACTGAAAGCCTGCTTTAGCATATAGATAGATATAGGTTGAGAAAACTCATCAGCTCTTGTGTTTCTTCTGCTAGCTAAACTGATGCTGGTTGTAGTAGTGGTTGCAGTGTCACACTTCTGACATTCATTTCTGTGATGTGGTTGCTACTGCTTCCTGGATGAAGCATTTCACTGTGGGGTTCTTGCAGTGAATCGATGATCCTGCAATCCTTTTGGATGATGGATGCACTTTGCATAAATGGAAAATGTTGTGGTTGTTGCCAGTAATGATTTGATGATCCTATTTTCTGTTAGGCTATGCATGTACTCCCTCCGTTTCAAAATAGATGACCCAACTTTATACTAAAGTTAGTACAAAGTTGGGTCATCTATTTTGGAACGGAGGGAGTAGTAGTTCTTCCAGTGAGCTGATGATCTTGTTTCTCATTTGCAACATTTTGATCTTGTTTTTCACTGTAGGGGTTCTTGCAATGAGTCAATGATCCTGCAACATGTTTAGATGGTGCATTTTGCATAAATGGAAACTGCAGTGGTTCTTGCAATGAGTTGATGATCTTGTATTTCTTTTAGACTGCATTTGTCATAAATGAAAAATGTAGTGGGTTCTTGCTGTGAGCTGGTGATTGTGTTTACAGTTGTGTTGTTTTGAGTGTTGGCCAAGGATCAGGAAAGGAACAAAGTTTCAGGTTTCTGCACGTTACATTGTTTTCAGGTAAGCTCCCTCCTTTTCTTTTGTTATCTTGTTTTAGCAAAATGAGATTGTTCATCTGCTGGAAGGGTTACAGTACCTGTGACATGGTGCCCAACTGGTAACTGCCTCAGTGTTCCTGCTTAATTCATCCAATGGGGGTGCCAGCTGCATGCATTTCTCTTCCATGAAGCACCTGATAACACTAGTTTGGTGGTTCTTGCTTGTGAGTTGAGCACTTGAGTTTATCTGTTTCTAACTTCCAAGTTTCAGTCCAACGAAGGGTGTCCCCCTTTCCAATCTTGTTTTTGTTTTGTTTTGGTTATGTTCAACGGCAGCTCCATTTGTTTTCAGTAGTTTACTCTTTCCCATAAGATCAATCATACTTGGGAGAGATTTCATGAAAAATTCACCCACTCAAGCATAAGAATCTGTCTGTGAGGCACACTTTGGCCCTGCCTGATGAGTCTGTAACCGAAGCTGCAGTGGCTAGACAGAAGTGTTTTCTTCTTCCCAATGTAATGATGGTTAGGTTGGCACACAATTTGGTATCTTTCCACTCAGTCAGCACTCATGTTTCTAGTTTTCGATCGGAACTAATTAACAACATTCAGCCTAACAAGGATTTCTGACAGAAAACTTGGCAAATGAGAAATTGACACGTGGTTCAATTGGCGAATAAGAAATTGACACGTGAAAAATCGTCATTGGTCAGGACTGTTAACGGGTATCAGATCCAAAACTGGCACCCAATAGCTTAACGGAGACCCGTTATGGTGGATGCCATGTGTTGGTTGTTATGGTGGATGTCATGTGTTGGTTACCCTTGACGAAAACACTTCCGTGACGCGCGATTTATCATCAGGAAGTGAACACTTCTGTGACAATAAATTGAGTATTGTCATGGAACATTTCCGCGATAGTACATGTATGACTATCTTGATTCTATCATAAAATCGTCATGAATGTACACGCGTGACAGAATATCCATAACGGTACCGTACATTGCCCACTGTCACCTAGAGACATGGTGCAAACTTCACCGGTGCATCCAAATCCCGTGAAATGAAGGGGCAAGCAATGGGCATGCCTTGAAATGAATGTGCTAGCAATTGATGTGTCCATGTGTAGGTACTATTCACGTTGCTGGTGTGGTGCCTCCTTCTGGTTCGATAAACCTGGGTTCTTAACTGAGGAAAATATTATCTGCTACTATACTGCTTCACCCCTCCTCTTCAAGGAAAACAAACAACTCCATCATGAGTAGCAACCCCTAGGAGGTAGTCAAGGTCGACAGTGCATGGCGAGCAGGGTGTCCGACCTCCCGTCTTCTTTGTTGTTGAAGACAAACCACCTTCAAAGGTCTTCAGGCCTGCCTAGCTGCAACCTCCTTGAAGAGGTCGGAGATGACATCACATGTCGGGGTCAATTTGAAGGATCGAGACGGACCTAGAGGGGCAGGGAATAGGTCTAGTTGGAAATTTTAATTCTTACTTAGCAAGTTTTGCCATTTAAGGTTATTTTTTTATGTTGCTGTACTTGTTTGAGATAATTTGTCTAGTTCAGGGCATATTATTTCTGTTGATGGCTTGAGTTAAGCATGACACTTATTTTCGAGCTTGATGTATAATTCTCTCTTCTTTCTTGATGCACTAATTTTAGCAATAAAGGTCGGTGTCGCCCTTCCGCTTTCCTTGCATTGTTAATAGATAATCTAATTTAGGATTTTTCTCGTGAATTGATATGGGCGGTCTCGTCACGTTGTTTGTCGCCATGTTGTATCACGCAAAGCACTACCATAGGCATCATGTGTACTTGAAACAAACCTTCCACTTCTCTAGACCAGTGGTGTCAATTTGTTCATATAGAAGTAGAACCATGATCTCCTCGGAATTGCAATTGGAATTGTTGTGTTCTAAATATCTTCCACATAGAGGTGAAATGCGTTTTTCACTGTCGTAAAGAGGGGATGTTTCCCAAATCTATTTAATGTTTTGAGCAGTGAGGGCAGGTTGATCAAGCAGGTGTTCATGGGGAAAAGGGGGAAAGGGGAAGGAAAATGGAAACTTCGCCATAAGTAATTGAGTATATTTACCATGTGTCAGGGCATATATGATTGGAAAAAAACGGAACATGAGAAATGGACAACAGAAATAATGGTAATGATGTGGGTGTGTGAAATTTGCCATGAGGGTGTATTATTTATAACTAGTCCCTTTGGTTAATTTGTCATGAATTTTAAAAATTAGCATGACTAGTTTATGGGAAACTAGCTAATATTTGCCATGTGTGTGAAACAATTGAAGCAACAGTGGCTAATTTGCCATGGATATGGACATGTAAAGGTCGAAATTTATAGAATGCATAGAAGACTTGAATTGCAAAACAAACTTTACCATCCAAAAGTGAACATAGTAATTGGAAGCAACAAGGTAGCATTTGTCATGCATATGGAAACTGCTAAGGAAAGCAAGATTTATATTTTTGTCAAATGATATGAACCTGTAATAGATAAAATTACCATCACTGCATAGGAAACTTCAGGTTGAAACAAATTTTGTTTGCCATCCATCTACCATAACAGGGAAAAAGTAGAAATCATCCATCTACCATTTACCCGCAAAAGAAAACGCTTAGTTCCAATCTTTTTCTCCGCGCTTGTCCAGGTAAGAGGGAAACCTTCCTTTCCCCGTAGTCTGGCCTGCAAAGAGGAGGAAGCGACCAAGGGAGGCCATCAACGGCGGCACCCAGGTGAGATTCCTCCTACTCGTCCTCCTACACAAGCACGGGCATCCCCGCCGCTGGATCTCCTTTCCCAACTCTCTTGGCGCCCCATCATCTCTGTTGTGATATCTCGCCTTTGCCATGGTCGTCATGGCATGGAGCTTCTTGTCCATCACCACTCCAACTCCCTTAACCCTTCTCGGGCA